AGCGTCCCTCTACCCAGGTTGACAGTGTTTCTGCAGGTAAACTCAATGCATAGTTAATTCTTTTATATTTTCAATCTCTATTCTATTAATATTTTATTTTAAACATTTAACTTACTGTTTTATAATAATGTATTTGCAGATGAGCTTAAAAGGATGAAGGTGTCCCACTCCCCGATTCAGGAGCAATTGCATGCAACGAAGGAGCAATTGCATGTTATGACAGAGCAGCTAACTCAGCAAGCGGACTTTATGAAGCATCAAGCTGACATTATGAAACAAATGCAGGAACACCTCCGGCTTTTAATACAGGACAAGGAAGCCAACTGCAACAAGTAGAAGGGACCAGTGCCGGATGATGACCGTGATGATGATGACTTTGCTAGGACTTTAGAGGCATACTAGTTGTTGTTTGTATGTTTTACTTCTTTTAGGACTTCAGAGATATATCAGATATTTTTTGTATGTTTTATTTTGTTTACAACTTTAAAGACATTTTAGTTGTAGATTTGATGGTTGTTGTTGTTCACTTTTGTTGATATACTATTTAATTTTAATTAATTGTTTATCCAATATTTTTTTGGATTTCTGTTGCTCAATTTATGTATTTATGTTCATTTGGAATCCTTGTTGTTTACAGCAAAATTAACAAAAGTTTAATACATTTTTTTATTTTAATTCCAGAATTTGTGGTGGAAATTTTCAAAATTCCCTTGCAAAATTCGTAGCCTTTTGCGAGGGAAAATCAAAATGTTTCCTTGCAAAATTCGTAGCATTTTGCGAGGGAAAATAAAAATGTTCCCTTGCAAAATTCGTAGCATTTTGCGAGGGAAAATCAAAATGTTCCCTTGCAAATTTTGCAACGGAAATTTAATACACCCCTTGCAAATTCTGCTACGGAAATTTGCGGGGGAAATTATACTCGAAATTTTCGTCGCAATCTGCGAGGGAAAAACACTGTAGGTAGGTCTGTTGTTAGCGAGGGAAATTTACTTTTTTGCAAGGGAACTTTTCCGTAGCAATTTGCGAGGGAATTGTCATATGACAAATTTCCCTTGCAAATGTATTTGCGACGAGGGTTTTAGCAAGGGACCGTGTTCCCTCGCAAATTCCGTTGCTGACAGGTTTTGCAAGGGAATTTTGCTGTTTTGCAAGGGAATTTTTCCCTTGCTGATTGTGAATTTTCTAGTAGTGCTATAATCAATTGAAGGTGTTTGGATGCCGAGCTTTCGTGCATATCCCTAAAGATGAAAGGGCCAAACTCGATGCGAAGACAAAAGAATGCATCTATCTTGGTTCGCCGAGATGTGAGTTCGGGTTCCGACTTTGGGATCCAATCAATAAGAAGATCGTGAGAAGCCGAGATATGATCTTTCATGAGCATGAGAACATTCATGACATCTCGAAGCCCAAAGTCCGGGTTACTGTCAGACGTGAAGAACCCATCCCTCCTGTCCGAGCTGAAGCAGGGGGAGAAAATCAAGAAAATGATGATCAGCAACAAGCTGAAGATGACCAAGACACTGAGGTCCGAGTTGATGATGAGATCCGGGATGAGAATGATGAACCAGGTCCTCAAGCTGAATAACAGCCGAGATATCCAACTCGAGAAAGAAGACCCTCTACGAGATACCCATCTGATGAATACACCGTTGTTGCTGAAGACGGTGAGCCTCAAAGTTATGATGAGGCTGTGATGAGCTCAGAGAAAGAAGAATGGGAAAAGGTAATGCAAAACGAGATGAAGTCTCTGCACGAGAATCAGACTTATGAGCTGACCGAGTTGCCAGAAGGAAGACGAGCTCTGAAGAATAAATGGGTTTACAAGATTAAGAATGAAGAGAACGGGAAAAAGCCAAGATACAAAGCCCGGATTGTAGTGAAAGACTGCAATCAGAAGAAAGGAGTTGATTTTGAGGAGATTTTTTCTCCTGTGGTGAAAATGACCTCGGTCCAAACCGTGTTAGCCATGGCGGCTTCGATGGACCTCGAGGTAGAACAAATGGACGTGAAGACAACATTTCTTCATGGTGATTTAGAAGAAGAAATATATATGGAGCAATCTGAAGGATTCCAAGCTCCAGACCAAGAAGACTTGGTATGTCGGTTGAAGAAGAACCTCTATGTCTTGAAGCAAGCACCTCGGCAGTGGTACAAGAAATTTGAATCATTCATGATTGATCATAAGTTTGTGAAGACTGAAGCCGACCACTGCGTATTTGTGAAGAGGTATGAGGCATGAGACTTTCTGATCTTGTGGTTATATGTTGACGACATGCTTATTGTAGGAAAAGACAAATCGAGGATAGCCGCCCTTAAAAAGGCGTTGAGCTCGTCCTTCGTAATGAAGGACCTCGGCCCTGCAAAGCAGATTCTCGGAATAAAGATTATCCGAGATAGACAGAAGAAACTACTGTGGCTGAGTCAAGAGAAATATATTGAGAAGATTCTGAAGAGATTCAGCATGGACAAAGCTAAAACAGTGAGCACCCCCTTTGCCGGACACATAAAGCTGAACCAGAAGCAATGTCCGAGATCTGATGAAGATAAAGATAAGATGATGAAGGTCCCGTACCAATCCGCCGTCGGAAGCTTGATGTATGCAATGGTTTGCACTAGACCCGACTTGGCGTATGCTGTTGGAATGGTAAGCCGGTATTTGTCAAACCCCGGCAAAGAGCACTGGAAAGTAGTGAAATGGATCTTCAAGTACCTCCAAGGTACGACCGACTTATGTCTCCGATTTGGAGAAGGCAATGCCGAGTTGCAAGGCTACTCGGATTCTGATTTAGGGGGAGACGCCGACTCGAGGAAGTCGACTACAAGATATTTGATGAGATTTGCCAGAGGAGCTGTCTCTTGGCAATCAAGACTTCAGAAATATGTTGCACTATAGACAACTGAGGCTGAGTACATTGCCGCTACTGAGGCAAGCAAAGAGATGTTGTGGATGAAGAAGTTCCTCATGGAACTCGGCCATGAACAAGACAAGTACGAGCTGGGTTGTGACAATCAAAGCGCAATCCATCTTGCAAAGAATTCAACCTATCACTCCCACACTAAGCATATTGATGTGAGGTATCACTGGATCCGGGATGTGGTGGAAGGTGGAGAGCTCGAACTCGTCAAGGTGCACACTGACCAAAATTGGTCCGACATGATGACAAAACCAGTTCCAGCAAGGAAATTTGAAGACTGCTGTGAAGGAGCCGGGTTGATGCTAAAGCCGACGCATTGAAGTCGGAGGGGGAGATTTGTTGGGCTTCCTCCTTCAATGCTAAGCCCAAGCCCATTTGAGGGGTTTCCTAAAAATCCTAACCCTAATTTTCAGCTCCTCTATATATACTCTTTAGTTGTGGGTGGAGGCTAGGTTAGATTTGAGAGAACAAATTTGAGAGAAAAATTATTTGATTGTTTGAGTAAAGCTTTATGCTTTGCATTTGAGAGATCTCTACAGAGAGTTTGAGTGAAACATCTCTAGGGTAGTTTGATTATCACCATTGTTGGAGAGGTTGAGTTAACCACCACATTGGTGTATTTGATTCGTTGTAACCATTATTTTCATAGTGGATTTTTGATCTGGACTAGGTCCCGTGGGTTTTTACTTCTTCATTGAAGAAGGTTTTCCCACGTTAAATCTGGTTGTGTTCTTCTTCTCTCTCTCCTGTTTTCGTTTCGATTTTCCGCTGCGCTGTCTGACCTGGTGAAATTCAGGCAGAGGTATTGCTGAGATCCGAGATCAGGATCTTGTTGATTGACTTCCGCACAAAGGCTGCTTAGCCGAGTTTGAGGGAACCGATTTTTTCCCGACAGACTGTATGGAAAAAAAAACCACAGGGAGGTAATTGAAAAAAAAAAAAACAAAGTGGTGTAAATGATAACAAAGAAAATCACAGGTTTATGAACTTTTCCCTTTCTTTTGTTATAGTATGTTGAATAGATATTTTCGTTTCTCATGATCACGATAAATGAAAATTCTCAGCCTTTTATTGATACATTAGAAATTAAATTTTTTTTTTTTTTTACTAACGTAGGTTAGATCGTGCTTGAAGAAAATTAAATCGATTGGTCATCTAGATCTATTCTACGCGGGATATAAGGCATGGTCCAAGAAAGGCTCAAAAGGGATCACTAAAACTTCGAGGTTAAGGAATGCAGCTATCCCATGTATATACATGTAATCTTGTCGGTACACTGACACACGACATTAGCAACTTGAGTCCTTTATGACTACATGACATCAGCAGCTCAGGACTCGACAACCACCATAATAGCCAATGGCTAAGGGATAGATATTTGGTTCTCACAGCGCATATGAGGCATAACTCATAAATAGACATCTCACACACGTAATAGCTTGCAAGAGCCACCTCTATACACCAGTGAGGTTAATTGTCGCCATACGAAATGAGTAGGATGCTTAACTACTATATAAATAGAGGCTTTACAATTATCTTTCCAATTTTAACCAAAGCTTATAAATAAGATACTGACTTAAGCGTCGACGTGTCTTACTAGTACCCTCAAATCATCCCAATCAATCAAGAGATCCGACATTAAAGGCTCCAACCCATAAAGCATCTCGCCTAGCCACAAAGAATCCCATGGAACTATAATCTCGCAGCACTTGTTCCAACAAAGACCCAAAACACCTTTGGATCATGCTCAATCGTATGTAATCCAGTCCAAATATTATTAGACTGTAATTTTGGATATCTAAATAATTATTTATTTATTCTTTTCCCTCTTACAAATTCTATCATTAATTTTTTTTTTTGCAATTAATATATTGATAAATGGCTGTAATCTCTTATATAATGTGATAATGTTAAAATGGGCATGAAAGTGTCTATTAATTTATAATATGGGACCAAAGGGTCTCTATCATTTTTGAAAAATCCACACCGAACTTTGACATTTTATACAGTGACTCAAAAAATAATAAATGACATAGATTGAGACCCTGTACCTCCCAGTGAGGCTCCTGACTAGTATAAAAACAGATCAATCTAAGTTTATTATGCATCAGCCCCAAAATCAGTATGGCTTCCTTATCCATGCTAGTGCTGCTTCTTGTAGCTCTAATCCTCACCCCTCAAGGGCTTGCTAATTATTACAAGCCTCCTGAGTATAAACCTCCAATTGAGAAACCACCAGTGTACAAGTCACCTGTTTATAAACCACCAGTTTATAAGCCACCTATTGAGAAACCGCCAGTGTACAAGCCACCTGTTTATAAGCCACCACTTGAGAAACCACCAGTATACAAGCCACCTGTTTATAAGCCACCAATTGAGAAACCACCAGTATACAACCCACCTGTTTATAAGCCCCCGTATAAGAAGCCTCCGTATGGCAAGTACCCTCCAGCTGAAGAAAACACCCATTTCTAAAGCATGCAAAGGAGTCATGTTAACTACTCATATACTAAATAAGAGGTCCTGTTACCATTGCTTCGTTTTCTAGTATCCTAATGAGTTTTCTTGGCTTCTGTATTTCAATAATTTGTAAACTCTATGGCCAAGTCATGAGCATCATATATGTCTCTGAATGAAAATCAGTGTAATGCTCTGTGCTCCACATTATAAATAGAAGAATTTTATGATTTTGAGATTTTGTTGGTTGAATGATTAGCTAAATTATTACTATTATTATTACTAGTATGATTTTCTATTTATCTAACTAATTCAATTCGGACATTGTCAGACTTACTCAGGGTAGTTCTGTCAAAAGTATTACTCGAAATCAATTAAAGAAAATATATTTGAACCAATAATTATTGATATTCTACATCATATTTTTGACCATAAACAATTGAACACACTAGGAAAGGTTAATTATAGATTATATTTTTAGAGTAAATCTTTCAATAACGAATTAAATATATATAAATTATAGAAGTTTAGCCATACTTCAACATATATATAATTTACCCAGAGACATATTGGTTCATGGATGTTTAGCCAGAGACAAAATAATCGTAAATGGAAGTTTATATTTACTCTCTACACACCTAAATTAACATGCACTTAATTTAATTTAGCATAAAATCATGGTAGCTTAAGTTTCAACCACATGTGAGGGGCACAAACACAGTTCCTACCGTACGCAATGACTATAAGTTTCAAATACAGTACGCAAGCCAGAACAAATAACATGCAAGAGAAGAAGAATTACTGTTATGGCCAAAGATTTAATATCATCAATTCTTAGTTGATAGTGGTTGGGGACATGGGAGACACTTATCGTTTGTTGACTATACACAACCAAATAATGAGGGCAAAACAGCACTGTATGCACATGATGAGGATATAATTTCTTGGCTATATATGGATGTGCTGGCCAGTGTTTAATGTTTAATTTTTAGCTCAATTAAACATGTAAAGAAGGATTAGTTTCATATCAAAACAGCATCACAAACATCATAAAACCAAAAATAAAAGTAAACAAAAATCTCTCCTCACACACACACACACATATATATATATATATATATATATATGAGGCAGGATCATCTTACACTAGTGTAAAAATAGTAAGTCTTACACTAAATATTAACCATCAATTTTCTGCATCTAACGGTTAAGATTTATTAGGTCTCACTCATTAATTAATTTTTAATTCCCAATAAATCTCAATCGCTAGATGCACGGAAATCAACGGTTAAAATTTGGTGTAAGATTTATTATTCTTACACCGGTGTAAGTTGATCCTATCTCTCTCTCTCTCTCTCTCTCTATATATATATATATATATATATATATATATATATATAGTGCTTATCATTTCTCAAGCTGTTTGAGATAATTTTATCTCTGACTACTAAATCATAACCGTACAAAGATTGATCAATGGTAATGAAGGAAGAGAGAGAAAAAAGGAATCATATCCATTCAAAGGTGAATCAATTAATAGAAGGAAACAAATAAAAAAACGACGTAGTTTTGAGGGGTCCGGAGATAAATTTATCTTAAGTTGTCGGAGAAATATTTTTCTCATATATATATGGGCTTAACGTTTCTCAAGTTGCTTGAGATAATTTTATCTCCGGCTACTAAATCATAACCGTACAAAGATTGATCAATGGAGATAAAGGAAGAGAGAGAAAAAGGGAATCATAACCATTCAAAGGTGAATCAATTAATATAAGGAAATAAATAAATAAAACGACGTAGTTTTGGGGTGGCCGGAGATAAATTTATCTCAAGCTGCTTATATATATATATATATGGAAAAATATTTCTCAAGCAGCTTGAGATAACTTTATCTCCGGCTACTAAATCTTAACCGAACAAAGATAGGTCAATGGAGATAAAGGAAAAGAGAGAAAAAAGGAATCATAACCATTCAAAGGTGAATCAATTAATATAAGAAAATAAATAAATAAAACGACGTAGTTTTGGGTGGCCGAAGATAAACTTATCTCAAGTTGCTTGAGAAATGTTTTTCCCATAAATATATATATATATATATGAAAAAAATGAAAATTCAATCACTGGATTGTCTAGTGCACTGAGTTCTCCTACAAGAACTTAGTGCACTAAATATTATAATGGTGTTCTCCCGGAAGAACATAGTTATAATAATATTTACTATAACTGTGTTCTCGCTGGAGAACTTAGTGCACTGGATCAAATTTTATATCCAATCATTGTACACTCACTAAACCTATATATATATATATATATATATATATATATATATATATATATAGACACACAAAAACATCGTATCAAATGAAAAATAAGCTCGATATTATTCAATCTGAATAATTAAAATTATATTTAAACGAGATTGAATAGTCAAGCTCTCCTCTCACTTCTTATGTCTTGCACATCCCGTATTTCGTAGATAGATTTAAATAAAATTATTTATAATAAAACTTATCCTCTAATTCCCGAGTATTTGGATAGACCACATAAGCCATTAAGTTTTGGGAAGTTATGACTTGACCTTAGTCGAGAATTATAACTTAGCATTTAGACTTAAAAAGGTAAAATAAAAAAAAAACTCAGAAGCCCTAAAATTCTAATTTATAACTATCATAATCACATTATTTACTAAAAATCGTAAGTAAATGTTTAAATAATTTTAAAGTTGTTAGATTAGGATTAGGGTGTGCATGACAACCTTCCCAGAATCAATTCTTTTTTAATTTCTATTCCCAGGAACAGAAATGGATAGGAAACCCGTTTGGTAAAACTGGTTTATTTTTTTGTTCTCGGGATGAACCAGTTTAATTTTTGTTCTCGGGAACAGAAAAAAGAATCAAAAAAATTCTGTTTTTTGTTCCCGGGCACAAAATGAGAAACACTTATTTCTCACAATTACTTTTCACACTATCATCATCATCACCACCATCATCATCCTGACATGACCACCGCCACCATCGTCGCCACCGCCGTTGTACCACCAATGTCATCGTCACAACCACCACCACCACCATGACGCTGCCGCCGTCACCACCACCACCACCACCAACACGATGTCATCGCCACCACCTCCACCATGCCACCATCATCACCAACATTACCACCGCTGCCACCACCACCGCTGCCACCACTACCATCGCCGCAGCCACTGCCGTCACCACCGCCGCCACCGCCGCCGCCACCACCATTACCACCATCATTGCCACACCCCCACCACTATCATTGTCGCCTCCGCCACCACTATCACCACCACGCCACCACCATGCCATCACCATTATCATCACCACGTCATCGCCACTGCCACACCATCACCAACCACCACCACCACCATCGTCGCAGCCACTGCCGTCACCACCACCACCACCATGCCACCACTACCACGCCACCAACCATCTCCATCGCCGCCACTACCACCGCAGCCACTACCACCACCACAATCATCGCCACCATTACCACCACCACCACCACTGCCACCGCCACCACTACCATTGTCGCAGCCACTGCCATCACCACCACCACCATGCCCATCACCACTACCATCACCCATCATCGCCACTGCCACCACACCACCGTCACCAACCACCACCACCACCATCGCCGCAGCCATTGCCACCACCACGCCATCACCACCGCCACCACTACCACCACCACTATTACCACCATCGTTGCCATAGCCACTGCCGTCATCAGCACCATCACCACCATGCCATCACCATTACCATCACCACGTCATCGCCACTGCCACACCGTCACCAACCACTACCACCACCATCGTCGCAGTTACTGCCGTCACCACCACCCCCATGTCATCACTAACACCACCATGCCACCACTACCACGCCACCAACCGCCGCCGCCGTCGCCACTACCACCACCACCATCGTCGTAGTCACTGCCGTCCGTACCACCATTGCCACCGCCGCCACCACCGCCGCCGCCATCATATGAAAAGGAAAGTGATGATCCAAAAAAAATTATGCTTGATAGGAATTATTTTTTATTATATTATTTGTTGTGTTATCAAACACAATTCTCATTTTCAGAATAAAAATATAACATGTTATCAAACATATTTTTTTTCTTAGAAACTGTTCCAAGGCACAGAAATAGAAAAGAATTGTTTCTTTTCAGAAATAGTGCCAGGAAACAGAATGGTTGTCATGCACACCCTTAGCCTCCTACAGCACAAAATATATATAATTATGCAACATTGAAAAGGATAATTATAATAATAATTATAGTATATAGAAAAATTAATGGAGCAGGATCCTTTGACACCGGTGTCAAATGACACCAAATACTATCTGTTGATTTTCGTCAATCATCGATTATCATTTATTGAAAATTAATATTAATTAATAAGTTTGATTCTCAATAAATGATAACCGTTAATTGGAAGAAATCAAAGATTGAGATTTGATGTCAAATTTTAAAATTTGACACCAATGTCAAAGAATCATATCTGATAAATATATATATATATATATATATATATATATATATATATATATATATATATGGGGTTTACATTTCAGCAGCCGCTGTACGTGCAGCAATCAAATACTTGTCATATATATACTTGAAAGCATTAAATGCGGGGAATCATAACCATACAAACGATGAAAGCATTAAATGTGAGGAATCATAACTATACACATGTCGTTGTTGTACGTAAATCGGCTATAGAAATGATTTTACCATATATATATATATATATATTAATTATTAATATATAGAATAATAATTATAATATCTAACTGAACTTCAATATTCACTTCAAGGATGCAACGTTGCACCCAAATTTATCACTGGCGTCTGGAGGGTGATAAAATAAAGGATGAAAATAGGTGAATTAAGAAACATACACTACCAATTAACGGGCTGAAAATTGCCATAAATTTGATTTTTAATTGATCCTATTAAATGATTCCTTGAATATTTTTCCCAAGTTTTAATAATTTGATCAAGACTCTAACATAACAACCCTAATTGTAAAATTTTGATATTAGAGGATTATTATGAAGACCTTAGGGTTATAAATAGAATGAGGATGAAATTCTAAGAATTTTGATATCTATATTGATAGTATTCTAAACAGGTGGATTTTCATCTGTTATTTTTTACTGCTGACCCAATAACAGTCAGTAGAATAGCTCCAATTTAGCAAATTTGAGTTGAAGAGCTATTTTGATGATATGATTATCATAAATGAGGTTAGTATATGATTTGATGAAGTTTGATATCAATATTGGGGTATTTTGGGAAAGTCACTTCTGCTGAATATTTTGTACTGCTGTAGAAGCAGCCAATAGAATCCCGGAATGAGAAAAATATGAGAAAATGGAATGAAAGACCAATATATGCCTAACAAGTCATAATTAGACCAATAATGTTAAAGTTAAGAAAATTATGAAATCCGGATACAGTTAATAACACCGGTAAAGACTATAGTGTAATTAAACAGCTGTAAGTGGATATGTGATCTACTAATCAAATTTTTAAGTTAGGAACATGATAGTTAGACAAACTTAATATTAATTACTTAAAGTTAGAGTCTTGGATGTTTCTGGGTAGAAATTTGATAACAGTTCAGAGAAAAATTACACTAGGTGTCACTAAAGGACAGAATGTCACTTAAGTGACTTGGTCAAAACTCAAAACCCTAGAAGACTAGGGCAGCCCTCCCTTCCCCCCATTCAGCCACCCCACTCTTTTTCTCTACCCATTTTGAATTTCAAATTTTTTCGTCCTTCTCTCTAGATTTACTCCATCTAAACTCCATCAAATCACCAAACCTCCTTCACAAAAGTTGTTCCTCTTATCCTCCTTTCCAAGAACATACCATTTTTGTTCTTGGAAACCAAAATTTTTGTGGTGAACCTCCCACATACAGCCATGGTTTGTGCATGTTCATGCCACGGAGATGATGGTTTGAGTTCTTTTTGACTCCTTTGTTGCTTATTTCCTTGAATTTTAGTGTAAGTTTCTTGAATCTTTTTCTTGAAAAACTCCACCTTTGAGTTGTGTTCTTGATTTCTAACTTTGAGCCTTTCTTAAAGGTGTGTTCTTTGTGAAAAATATGCATTCTTGCTCGAGAAAGATGGGAGCTTGAAGCCTTGGAGCTAACTTGAAGAAGTAAGCTTGAATCTTTGGAGAAATGATGACCAAAACCTTCCTCCCCCTCACTATACAATTCGGCCATCATGATTTTTCTATGGGGTTGATGTTTTAATTTTGTAAAAATGGTTCTTGAAGTTGTAAAGTGTGAAAAATTATAAGTGGGATCAAGAAAAATGTTAAATGTGTAACCTTTAAGCTTAAGAAAACTAATCTTGATTAAGGATGGATTTGAACCCTAATAACACCATGTCTACAAGTGGATATGTTATTTCGTCATTCGACGGAGCTATCAGTTGGATGAGTAAGAGGCAGAACACTGTTTCTTTATCTACTACACAGGTTGAGTGCATGGCCTTGACACATGTTGTTAAGGAAGCTATTTGGTTGTGGAGGTTGTGAAAAGAGCTTGGCTTTGCACAAGGAGAGATGATCGTTGGGTGTGACAGTCAGAGCATCATTTTCTTGGCTAAGAACCCAGGTTTCCATGCGAGGACCAAGCATATCGGCATACAGTACCACTTCATTAGAGAGAAGATTGAAGACATGGTTGTATTGCTGGAGAAGGTTGACACAAAGGTCAACAGTGCTAATTTTCTGACCAAGGCAGTTAATTCAGAGAAGTTTGAATGGTGTACAGCTTCATTGGGATTGAGGAAACATGCGAAGCATTCACCAAGTGGCAGAATGTTGGGTATGGCTCATACTTCGCATGTGATGAGGGTCCTTGTTGTCAGAGTCAGCAGAAAGACAACTGGGTGTGAGGTAAATCGAGTGACTTGTCGGGGTCACCAAGGCCTCTATTTTATTGTAATTTTTCTTTTCTTAGTAGTTTGGGCTTTTGGCTCATGAATAGCTGTTGTTAGGATTTTTAATCCTATTTATATTCTTCTTGTAAACCAAGTGACTTGTAACAAGTGGCGGTGAGGTGAATATAGTACAGACAAGCTGGACATAGCCTAAATTGGATGAACCAGGATAAATCACTATGTCAATTCTCTCTCTCTCTCTCTCTCTCTCTCTCTCTCTCTCTCTCTCTCTCTCTTTTCGCTTGCGATTTGTGTGTGTGATTATCGATTTCCAACAATACTAAATGAAGAAGATAATTTTCAACCCATTGGTGAAATCCAAGAGCAGGAATGAGAAAATGTTAATGCGTGTAAGACTAGTATAACTTTAGATATGTGGAGAGCTGTTGCTTAGTAATTTTGAATGTTTGTTAAAAATTATATTATGTTTTACTGATTGAGAAAATTATATTAGGTTTTACTTTTTTTAATTAATATTATTGCATTTGTTTGCTATTTTTTTTACCTTTGTAATTTTGATTGTTTGTTAAAAATTCATATGATTTTTTAAAATCTTATAAATTTTATTAAAATTCTTTAAAATCCAATCTTATGAAATCTTGATTTTAAAAAAAAGTCTTTAAAGTCACTCTAATTCTAAATAGTCTTTTAAAATCTATAATATTTTTTATCTCAAAAAATTCTTTTGAAATCCTAATCTAATGCACCCCCAAGATAAAATACTTATGAGTTTTGCCCAATTATTTTAATTTCATCAAGTCATTCCAAAAAAATTCAGTTTTTTTTTTTTTTTTTTTTTTTTAAATATCAGTTCAAAAATTTGAATGCAATACTGTAAGGATACGGCTTCACCTAGGAAGACAACAATGGCCTGTCAAAAAGCTTTTTAATATTATCAAGGGAACACTATATATTTTCCGAAAGAAAAAAAAATAAAAAATTTAAGTAATTAAACGGATTGCAATTATGTTTAGATGTATAGCTTGAAATGTTTCAAAGAAACTAACTCAAGCCACAAAAGTTTATAACTACTTAAAATATTTATAAAATATACTACATACACAACAGTACAAATTTGCATAAGCTAAACATAATGATATTAATCCTAATTATCTCTTTGAGGAGAATCACTTCTTACGCCCACACAAGATTCAACTTTATTTTATGTAAACAATCATAAGTAAATTACGAAATCAAGAAGGAAAAAAAAGAAAAGAAGAAATATAAAATTCATCAATATCAAATTTGTATCATGCTCAACCATATGTGATCCAGTCCAATTATTATTAGACTGTAATTTTGGATATCTAAAATATTAATTATTTATTCTTTTCCATTTTACAAATTCTGTCATTAATATTTTTTTGCAATTAATATATTGATAAATGCCTGTAATCTCTTATATAATGTGATAACGTTAAAATGGGCATGAAAGTATCTATTAATTTATAATATGGGACCAAAGGGTCTCTGTCATTTTTGAAAAATCCAAACCGAACTTCGGTATTTTATACAGTGACTCAAAAAATAAGAAATGACATAGATTGAGACCATTTACCTCCCAGTGAGGCTCCTGACTAGTATAAAAACAGATCAATCTAAGTTTGTTATGCATCAGCCCCAAAATCAATATGGCTTCCTTATCCATGCTAGTGTTGCTCCTTGTAGCTCTAATCATCATCCCTCAAGGGCTTGCTGAGTATAAACCTCCAATTGAGAAACCACCAGTATACATGCCACCACTTGAGAAACCACCAGTATACAAGCCACCTTTTTATAAGCCACCAACTGAGAAACCACCAGTGTACAACCCACCACTTGAGAAAGCACCAATATATAAGCCACCAATTGAGAAGACACCAGTGTACAACCCACCACTTGAGAAATCACCAGCATACAAGCCACCTGTTTATAAGGCACCAATTGAGAAACCACCAGTGTACCAGCCATCACTTGAGAAACCACCGGTATACAAGCCACCTGTTTATAAGGCACCAATTGAGAAACCACCAGTGTACCAGCCACCACTTGAGAAACCACCAGCATATAAGCCACCTGTTTATAAGGCACCAATTGAGAAACCACCAGTGTACCAACCACCACTTGAGAAATCACCAGTATACAAGCCACCTGTTTATGAGGCACCAAATGAGAAACCACCAGTGTACAACCCATCACTTGAGAAAGCACCAGTATACAACCCACCAATTGAGAAGCCACCAGTGTACATGCCACCACTTGAGAAATCACCAGCATACAAGCCACCTGTTTATAAGCCACCAATTGAGAAACCACCAGTGTACAACCCACCACTTGAGAAATCACCAGTATACAAGCCACCTGTTTATAAGCCACCAATTGAGAAGCCACCAGTGTACATGCCACCACTTGAGAGATCACCAGCATACAAGCCACCTGTTTATAAGCCACCAATTGAGAAGCCACCAGTGTACATGCCACCACTTGAGAAATCACCAGCATACAAGCCACCTGTTTATAAGTCACCAATTGAGAAACCACTCGTATACAACCCACCTGCTTATGAGCCCCCATATAAGAAGGCTCCTTATGGCAAGTACCCTCCAGCTGAAGAAAACACCCATTTCTAAAGCATGCAAAGGAGTCAAATTAACTACTTATCTACTAAATAAGGTCCAGTTACCATTGCTTCGTTTTCTAGTATCCTAAATAGTATTCTTGGCTTCTGCATTTCAATAATTTGTAAACTCTATGGCCAAGCCGTAGCATCATATATGTCTGTGAATGAAAATCAGTGTAATGCTCTGTACTCCACATTATGAATAAAAGAATTTTATGATA